CATGCAACTCATGTGCGTCGTACTAGTACGACGCTCGCGCTAAAGGGGTTAACTATGTGCATGTGCTGGATCTACGCTGTTTATCACTATGTAGCATGACGCAATTCCGTCGTTATTTGACGCACATTTAGTTTCTCTCTCCTCTCTCTCTCTCTCTCTCTCTCTCTCTCTCTCTCTCTCTCTCTCTCTCTCTCTCTCTCTCTCTCTCTCTCTCTCTCTCTCTCTCTCTCTCTCTCTCTCTCTCTCTCTCTCTCTCTCTCTCCACCGTCATCTTCAAGTCATCGTGCAGGGTTGGGTGCTCGTGCTCCGAAGCAGCATTCCAACCCCCCGAGGAAGGATCTCCTTCAAACATTTGAGGAGATCAACGCGCAGGAGCAGATTTTGAGGCTGAAGACTCTTCAGGTGCAAGGCAAGTGGTTGGAGTGGACATCGGTGATGTGGCAGGACCTCTCGTGGAAATCCCTTTTGTACGGTGGTACTGGTAAGGATTTGAAATTTCTTCTCGCATCAACCCTCGACGTGCTACCTTCTCCGACGAACCTACGCCGTTGGGGAAACACCGTAGTGGATCCGTACTGTAGTTTGTGCCGTACCTGGGCCTGTACTACGCGCCACGTGCTTGGCGCTTGTCGCGTAGCGCTGGACCAGGGACGTTGCACCTGGAGGCACGACAACGTACTCGGGGTCATCGTCAGGAACATGCGTGAGGAGATTCGAATCCGCACTGCTGCAAACACCGTACAAACCGAAAATTCAAATGAGCTTGACTTCATCTCGTTTTGCAAGGCGGGAGAGAAGCCAGTTCGCGTTCAGCCCAGACGAAAGTTGGTTACGACTGATCTCCTGTCAGCGGCCTCAGACTGGAAACTTCTTGTCGACTCAGTGCAAAGATTTCTTTCCCTAGCTGTGTTGCACTTACCACCCTAAGACCAGATATAGTTCTGTACTCTACGAGTCGTAGGATTGTATTCTGGATGGAGTTGACAGTTTGTGCTGAGGACAGATTCAGTGTCAGTAACTCGCGGAAGGACAGGCGGTATGCGGATCTGGCCGATCAATGCCGAGCAAACGGGTGGCAGGTCGTTTCTTTTTCGGTTGAGGTAGGTGTGCGTGGTTTCATCCCGGACTCTCTTCGGAGGGCTCTGAAAGCGCTTGGGTTTTCTAATCGAAGAATACAATTTATTTGTAATTTGTGCATTAAGACGTCTCTGCGAAGCAGCTACATCATCTGGTTGCGACGTCAACAAAAACACTGGTCGGAAGATCCACTATTCTGAGGTACTGTATGTGGGGCTCCGTTTATTGAGGTGCGTTGAAATTTATTCTCTTTATCTTATTATTTCTTTTCTATAATTTCCCCATATGAGTTCCTATCAGTTGCTGTGAACACCTTGAGTGGAGAGCGCTTGCTCGAGCGTTGAACCAGGTTCTTAATCCACCATACCCAGTTCGCAAGGCTGGGCGGGGTTGTGAGCAGGCTTTCATTTCATCTTTTCTTAT